GCTGTCCTCCGTTCACCAATTCCAGCAGCAAAATCTCCTGAAAATTCTACAGCCTCCCAAAATGGCACCACCAGCTGGGACAAGGGGTCCAACTAGATGACCCTATGGGAGAGTGTTTCAAGCCCAAAGCGTAACGCTTTGTGCACATCCCACAATGGTCCCGCCTCCTTCCTATTTCCTACCTCTACTTTCCTTGCTCCTACCTACAATGCCCTTCTCTGGTTCTGTCAGCCTCAGCCAATGGCTAAAACATGGTAATGCTTCTGAGGCATTTGGCTCTTCCTAGGCCTCACCATCACTTTATATATCCTAGACCTTCCTCTAAGACTCCACTCTCTCTTCCTTGGGCAGTTCTCATGCTTCAGCCCCTACACGGTGCTGAGATTATAGGTGTGCAACCTTAATATCCTGCCAGTTTTTTGTTTCTAATGGCTTGAGTTGTAGGCCACTCACTCTTGGAGTTTGGAGCTATAGGCCTCTGCATCTGTCTTGGGCACTGTAGTGGTTTGAGTGATAATGACCCCGTCTGCTCATAGGGGGTGGTACTATTAGGAGGTGTGGCCTTATTGGAGTAGGTGTGGTCTTGTTGGAGGAAGTGTGTCACTGGGGGGGTGGGCTTTGAGGTTTCAGAAACTCAAGTCAGACCTAGTATCATTCTCTTCCTGCTGCCTGCTGATCTAGATGTGGAACACTTGGCTCCTTCTCCAGCACTGTGTCGGTCTTTGTGCTGCCATGCTGCCCACCGTGATGATAATGGACGAAACCTCTGTCCCTGTGAGCCAGCCCCAACTAAATGCTTTGTTTTAAAAGAGTAGCCATGGTCATGGTGTCTCTTCACAGCAATAAAACCCTAATTAAGACGGCACTTGCGGAAGGAGTTTGTCTTTGCCTACTCACAGTTTTTATGTGGACAAAACAAAAAGGATTGTTGACAGCCTTGGTAACAAAGGGGTTAATTCTTCTATCCAAGGAGGTGTGAAGATGTAGAAGCTTGGCCTTTAACCCAGGCTATTTGTACCTTCACTGCTACTTGCTATAGCTCTTAGGGAAGCCTTTTTTGGTGACACCCTTACTAGGTGTCAGGAACTGTGAAGGGCTCTCCTCCTCCTTGGCCATCTGTCTCTATGACATCTTCATGTAAAAGGCTTGCTGTTTGCCCACCAAATTGCTCAGCTTGCCATGCTTCTGCTTAGAGACCCACAACCTGTGTGCACCAAGAATCTCGCTAGACCCAGAGAAGAATGGGCTAGTCAAGGGCTAGTCTGTACCCATCCCAACCTGCTCCTCAGGCTGAGAAGCCCTGGCAAGCCCTGACAGAAACTGTCCCATCATTCATTCATTATTCCACAGGTTCACCACCAACACCAGCACCATTGACCCTCATGCCCCACCAGTCCCTGTTCCCACAGAAGGACCCGGAGAGGAGGCATAGCCATGGTCAAGTACTTAGTGTTGGTCTAGACCCTTGGGCAAGGCTCTCCTCTAGTTCATGTACGGCAGTCTCTGAGGCCTTTGGCTCTTGGGGAGCAGTGGTAAGGTGGGGGAGAGCAGAGCAGGGAGTGCTCCCGGGGCTACTATAGGAGCCAGATGAAACTGCCCTTCTGCCAGCAGGGGAAACATTCCAATAAATGGGGGCGGGGGGATGGTCAAGAAAATCTTACCAACAAGTCTCTTTAAAGAAATGTATGAGACCCATCCCAGAGCTAGGTGTAGGGACATATACCTATGATCTGAGCACTTGGGAGGTGAAAGATGATTTGGAGGTCAAGGTTGTCTTTAGCTACTTAGTGAGTTCAAGTACAGCCTGGGTCACATGACAGTTTATCTCGAAGCAAACTAACAACAAAATCCCTCACCACTAAAATGCACTGGTCGTGGACATTAGCTTTCTGTTAAAATGAGAATTGTCACGTTGAAGGCCTTGTGTAAACTGTTCTCACCTGTAAATCCATGTCACTACTGTAATGAGGAGCTCCAGGGGTGAAGAGCACTTGTTGCTCTTACAGAGGACACAGTTTGAGTACCAACATGGCAGTTCCTAACTGCCCATAACTCCAGGTTCAGCAGAGCTGGTAACCTCTTCTGGCCTCTGCAGGCAGTAGGTATGCAAGTCTTGCACAGAAATAGATGCAAGCAAAACACTCGTATAGGTAAAATAAATTTTAAAATGCTGTAATGAACATGTTCACCCCATTATAAAGATAAGCAAATAAAGGCACAGAGGAATTCTTTAAAATATTAGTGTCTAACTCAGAATTTTAATGCAGGAAAATGGCGTCACAGAGGCCTCATTGCCACTTTATATGACCTCTCGTGGGGTCCACACCATTTATTATAACATATGCTACCAAAACTGTCTAGATTTAGCTGACAACAGAGATGCCTGACTGTGCAAATGCTCAGCTGTGCAGGAAGGGCTGGAAGCCTATGAGTATAATCGCTAGTGTAATAATAGTTCAGCAAAAAGCAGAGAAAGGATTCACCCCAAGGGAAAGGTCATTGATGTCAAAGAGAAAGACTCAAGCCAGACACGGTGGTGTGTCTCTGGAGTTCCAGCTAGGGACTTGAGAAGGCAAAGGAATTGCCTGAACCAAGACCAAAGAGTTCAGGACCAGCCTCGGGGGAAACTATGCAGGTTTCTCCCTGCATAGTCCACGATAGCTGGCTGGAATGATTCTGGGATTTTCCTGTCTCTCATCTCCCACTTTGCCATAGGAGCATTACAAGGATTACAGAATGTGCGATTGCATTCAGCTTTAAGCAGCTTCTGGGGATTCGAACCCAGGTTCTTATACTTGCGTGGCAGATATTTTACTTGTTTTATAATGAATATGAGATCCAGAACAAAGAAAGACCCAAAGAAATCTCCTGGATAGAGTGATCAGAGTCATGTGAAATTTTACAACACTGAGCTGAAGTGAGCTTGGTTGAGACTTTAACTTCCCTCCTCTCCTGGGACATCCAGCTGCATATCTAAGCTCTGAAGGGCATTCCTGTTGGAGGGTGACCAGACTGGAAGCCATCCAGGGCAGACCTGTACAGCTTTCTTGTGGAGAGAACAAGGTGCTGAGAGCCAAAGCTGGCAGCCATGAGTCTATAGGCACATGACCACTTCCAAACCCCTCCTGTCCTCCAGCCAACCAGACACACATGGGGGGAGGGGTGCTGCATACCTCAATGACTCTATGCAAACCAACCAGCTGTCAAACCCTCAGGGAATCAGCTGTCCCCAATTACCAGACATTTTACACATTTGGCAAACGTTCAGATCAACCTCAGTTACACTCAAGGCGTACACAGTCCAAGCAGTCACATGGAGCAACACTGTTGTTTAAGAGACTCTTTCTGGGTTTACACAAACCATGCCCATCTACTCACCCCAAAAGACAAGCCACAGCAGACTAGAGTAACAGTCTCACTGAAGTCCAACTTTGTGAACGGTCAGTTTTTACTGTGGTTGCTACAGGACTGTAGGTGAAGCGCTACTTCCAGGGGCAGGGATGGCTTAAAGGCAGCGGCGTCACCGACAAGCCCACCCTGACAACTTAGGAATCTTCCAAGCCATGGCTTGCCCAGACGTGGAGTTTGCTTACCTCCCAAGTTTCGTGAGCCCCTTTCCTCCCTTCTACAGGGAATGTTTCAATCAGCGGAACCTGCTATAGAGCACGCTCAGAGGCAGCTAGGTGCACACACCACACAGACGCACAGCCACAAACACTCAGCCACAGCACAGTGAAACTCCAGCAGGAGGCACACGCAGCCTTCACGGTAATGGTTCCTCGGCCACCACTGCCCACAGATGGGGCCTCTGCAGATCAGGAGCCCTCTCCATCATGCAGATTCACCACAGCAACCCCATTAGCCCAGACTTCCTCCTCATCAGTCGGGGAGGGATTGCTGCTCTCTGGGGGTGGATTGATTTATCCAACTAATTAGTCCCAATTAATATTAATACACATTCTCTGCAACTGCGGCAGCTCAGGCAGAGAAGCTGTCCATGGGAGCCATCAATCAGCAAGCCGGGAACAGCAGAGGACACTCCGGATCTTCAGTACACGGGATCCCATACCCCTGACACTATGCCCAACCCCTACTGCATTGGGCTCCCAGGAGTGTGCTACCCAAGCTGCGGACTCCAAATTGAGGAGCCCAAAGCCCAGAGAGGACCATCACATGCTCCAGGTCACACAGCAAATCCAAGGCTATGTCCCCATGCTCCTTTTCCCAGCCTTCTCTCCACCACTTTAGGAGGGTTTATGATGCACTCAGGCAGGGCCCATCTTCAGCTGTCGATCCTAGCCAGCCAGCTGCAATGGCTGTCTGAAAGCTTTGAAGTCTCTATTGGGAACTCAGTAAACATGGAGTGGGGTGAGCCTAGACAGGAGAGATATGCTGACTAGGTTCTTTTCTCAGTGGAGATGGGAGGACAGGATCACCTAGGAGATGGACAGAACTGCCAGGGCTATGACCCAAGAGAGGATTGAGGCAGCGAGGTCCTGGGGAGTCTAGCCTCCCCATATGCTGGGTCTCCCGGTAAAGAGATTCTGTGGGTGATGGGAAGAGAGAATCAGGGAAGCTATGAGAGGGAACTTGCGTTAGGAACGTACTGTTCTTGATGTCTTAACAGCCTGTCTCAGGGAGAGGCATAGCCACCATAAGCTGGTCAGGGGGCTACTGGTCACTATGGCCAAGGGAGTGTTGACTACCCTCAACACTAGGAAGTCAGGAGATGCAGGGGTCAAGTCTGTGGTTGACCCTGTTGGGTGCGAGCCTGGAGTCACTTGGAAGCAGATGCCAAATCACCTTCAGACACCTCCAGAGTGTGCCCTGCCCCCCCCCCCCTTCTGCCTCTTATTATCCTAACCCTGTGGCATTTCAAATGCTCTCCTTGAGGCCCTCCGGCCCCTCTTCGGGGCCGTATGGCAGCTGCACCTTGTTACCTCACCTTTCCTTGGGCTGCAAGCCTCCGTTACCACACCAGCCTTATTTATTCACACTTATTATCAGCAGAAAATATTTTATTTATGTACTTGTTTGCATGTTCCCCCTCTGGAAAATGAGTTCCCTAAAAGCAGGGACCTGCCAGCCTTTTGTAAAGTGTCTGGCACACAGGAGCCGCTCAATTCGGCAACGGCAGGCGGAATTCTCCACCCCCACCTTCACCTGTCCCCGTCCCCTTTTGCACCAGCCACGTTTACATCAGCTCTGCCATTCCTCAAACACTTGTTCCTCTGCTCCTACTGACAGTGCACTTTCCAGCTTACATGTTACTTCACACGGGAAGCCCGGACACACCTGCTCGTGTGCACACTTCAGGCCCGCTGTCGTCGTCATAGCCAGGAGCTTCGGTAGAGCATTTTGGATGCACTGTGTGATCCCACAGTTGATGGCAGAATGGAAAACCACCCAAGCAGGGGCTGTTTCTGCTTGATTGCCCTGAACACACTGTGAGAGCAATTCAAAGTGTTTCTGGGATGGATAGGAGTGGGAGGGCTGAAGGTTGGTGGAAGGGAAGACAGGCAGCCCTCCAGACCAGGAAAAGGCTCCAGGTGGATCACAGACAAGGTGGTATTTGTCCTTGTGGTCAAGAATCAAAGTCAAGGAAGTAGGTTAGATAAAGGTAGAAGGTCAGAGACAAGCTGGGAAATTCCTCATTTCAGGTAAGAGAAGGAAGTAATCAGGAGGTGCCAAAATGGATAGGCTAGTTAAAAAGTCTGCCATTCCTCCAGCGAGCCTTCACTGGCTGTCCACTAAGTACCAGGCACCATGCTGGGTGCTGGGCATACAAGGATAAACCTCACAGGGCCCAGACCACAAGGGGTCTCACCCACTTAACGTATCTAGGTCACCACTCCAACCTATATGTAGGAGACTTCGAAAGCCTGGCCAAGACCAGCAAGCCAACAAACACAGACGGGAGACAGATGTGGCTGTGGACATCATGACTTGATTACACAGATGTCTCTAAGTGTTCCCCGGCAGGTATGCAGCTGGCATGCCCCTCCTTTGGTTCAGTGTTCAGATTTGTGGATGCACAAGTAGAAGAAGGGTTGCAGAGGGGAGAGGGTGTCACAGATGACTCTAAAAGTTGTCCCATTAGGCTGGGTGTGGTGATGCACAACTTTAATCCCAGCACTCAGGAGGCTGAGGCAAGCGGCTTTATGAATTGAAAGCCAGCCCCCCTCTACAGAGTGAGGTCCTGGACAGCCAGGGCTACACAGAAAAACCCTGTCTCTAAAACAAATAAATAGAGGACAGAAGCTTCCTGAAGAGAGGGTGATATGTATGAGACCCCAAAGGACTAAGAGGAGAAGAGGAGGCATGTCAGCAGAGAGATGAGTGTGGGAAGGAAGACCAGGGCGGAGGCCATCAGAGCTGGACCCAATCCAAACAAGAAAGGAAGGGCAATCAAGCGCCAAGGACACGACCCTATGTCCATCTTGTGGGTAATGGCACCAGGGAGCAGAAGAGTGGCATGGCTGCAGGTGGCTCTGGAGTGTCAGGTCAGCCCTCAAAGCAGACTAATAGAAATACCCAGCAAACACATTGTTTCTTGACTTTTGGTGAGTCTTGGCCCCAAGTCACCCCTGCTGGCTCTCATGTAAAGTAAGGAATCAGGACGGAAAGGCCGGAGAGGGGAGCAGGGTCCAGACTTGGCTTGGGAGGAGGTGTCCTGCGTATCTGCAGAGCTCGGGGGAGGGCGAGCAGACACCTCTTCCCTGTGCTGGGAGTTTCCTCATAGGCAGCGGTAGTATCCTGAACAGATGGGGCTGCAGTGCAGAACACATGGGCCTCGGGTCCTCTGGAGCTGGGCGGGTAGATGACCCTCAGGATGGCCGCTTTTCGGGGGTCATCAGCAGTTCCACCTCCCGCATGAACCGCAGGCACAGCTCTTCCTGCCAGGGTAGAGCCACACACTGCACAGCCACAGGTAGGCCTACACTGTTCTTCATGGCCTGCGGGGTTACAGACATCAGTGTGGGAGAGATGAAGTGGTACCACAGGGTCAGCAAACATGCACCGTGATGGGGAGGGCAAGCAGCAGGCACGGGGCTTACGTTAAGGAAGGCTGACGAAGCCTGCAAATGTGAGGACTCTGTCCTCCACAGCGGCTGGGTCTGGGGCCAGTGAGCTAGGGGATGGGCAGGCTTTACCTTCTTCAGTGTACTGTCCCAGATATCCCCAAAGTAGCCCTTGTAGTGTTCCATCTGGGCATCATCCTCGGACGTCACAGTGGTGACAGGCACCACCCCCGCAGGGAAGTCTAGGCAGTTGAAGAGCACAGTGTAGCTGATAGCTCCTGAAACACAACACCCGGGCTGAGGCAAGACACCTTCAGTGTCTTCTCTGGGCCTAAGTTACCCTCACATAACAAAATGGCACCCTGCCTCCACAGCCAGGGAAAGTCCCTCCCCCAGGCCCGAGGTCTGCAGCACAGCACAGGAGCCAGCCAGACTTGCTGGTGCCCGCTCTGTGCTTCTCCATGTAGTTTTCCAGGACCTGGAATGTTGAGCCTATCTCCTTGGCTTAGCTAAATCCAACCGAGATTCAAACATCATTTGCCCCAAACTGCGGGCTCTGCAAGGAGACCTCCTACGTGAGAGTGCTGAGGACAGGGGACGCATTCCCTCCCCTTATCTTCCATCCGTTTAGCCAACAAGATAGTAAGGCCCAAAAGAGCAAGATGCTCCTCTGTGGATGGTGCGTTCCCCCAGAACTCCTCCTCTTCTAGCTCCACAGGGCACGGGGGCTGAGGTCAGAAGAGGAGGGGGATTCCTCCCCCTCCTGGGGGAGGGGCTGTAGGCCTCACCTGTGGCTCTGCCTGGAGCATTCAGATCCAGTGCAGGGCTCAGCATAGGGGTCAGCAGCACATCCAAGTTCATCGCTTTCCACTGGGCAATCACAGACCTGCGGTACATCTGAAGGCACAAGCAACCCCGGGGGAGATAGACCCAAGGCACCCCAGGATGTCCAGTGGACACTGAGGTGGCTCTGGTCCTAACACTTGCTTCTGGATCTCAGATGAACCACCAAGAGATGAAAAAGAGCTGCCTCTTGAGGGTATTGTTTCCACCAACAGAAAAAAAAATACTTTCTGCCAAAGTAGAGCCACTTGCTAACACAGACATAGATAGTCTTAGAGGGAAAAGGAGGGGCCCAGGACAGGAGCCCTATGCTGACCCACACTCCAAGGACCGGTACTGGGTAAGTGAACATCACAGAAAGGCCCCCAGCCACAATCTCTGGAGAGGAAGGGGTAGCAGGCCACTCTGGGCCCCCGTGGGAGTAGTGGCCAGAGAAGTCTGCTGGTAGATGCCCTGAGCAATTACACCCTCCCCTACTCCCAGGGCTCAGACCTTACCTCAATCTCATGGTGCAGCTCCCACAGCTTTCCAGATGACCTGGGCAGATAGAGGGAGGTCACCAACCATCACAGGCACAGCCATCAGCATCAGCCACATCATGCATCCTACCCTCATCATTTCTAGATCTCACTCAACCCCCGGGGGAGCTCTGAGGGAGGAAATCAAGGCTCTGCTGTCCAGATGGAAAAAAATCCGGGATCTCAAGGGACTCAGGCTGAGTGGTTTAGTGACTTCCTAGCCGAGCCAGCACTAGACCAAGTCTGATTCCTCGTGACTCTTGAGCTACAAGAGAGAGTAGGAACTGTCCAAAGTCCCCACTACCTGGAGGTGAGAGGTGCCTTATTTCCACAGATGCTAGAAATAAGGTGGCTCGTATCCTACTTCTGAAGACCCGGCCACCAAAGGGCAGGTAGGACTAGGTCCAGACCAGACCTACCAGCTTTTTACCTGTTGCCCCTGGTGCCCACCATCCCTATACCTCCCAAGCTGAGGCCAACTCCTTTCTGGTCTTTTTTCCTGTGCTTCCCTCGCTAGCCTGTCCTGCTCTGCACACAGGCCCTTGTCCTCCAGATGACCCAGACCCTCCTAAGATGGCTTCAGGGTCCCACCTGACGGTCACAAGTCGACCTCCCTGCCTGGATCACCTCAACCTTAGAAGCTATTTCTCCCAGAGACTTTTTTTCTGTCAAAACCATCAGACCAGACCAGCTGGGGAAACACAAGGGCAGGCATTGGGATACAGGAAAAGCTCTCACCGCGGACGCATGCTGTTGAGAAAGGCTGCCAGCCGAGGAAACTGCACCAGAGCAGACAGCGGGTCAGTGACTGGTCATCTATGACACCCCCTCCAGGTCCTCCCTCCTCCCAGGCCCAGGTCACAGCCCTTTTGACAAACAGGTTTGTGAAAGAACGTGGCCGAGAGAGGTCGGGATAAAAGAGATGAGGCGGCCACGCAGTGTGCAAACCTGGAGGCCAGGGAGGAAGGAAGAGCCGGAGGCCATGAGCTATCATAGGATGGGGACCCAGAGGCTGTGTCCTTGCATGCCTGGGACTCTCACCAGAGGCTTCAGCAGGAAGCTCAGCAGTCTTTTAAGCCACGAGGGCAGCTTCAGAACTAAGATCAGCTCCCCCAGGCAGGGGTCCACAAAGTCACCTTTGCTGGAAGACAAAAGGCTAGTTAGGATTCTCAGCTCCCGGAGCCCTCCTCCTCCCCGGCGGCGACTCGGCGGTCCTGGCCACCTCCCTCCTCACCCAGCCCCAGTAGCACTGGTGTCTAGCCCCTTCCCTGGCCCCTTTCCAGTGCACGCTTTGTTTCTCCCGCTCACCAGGGTGCCTGGACTCTGCCCCACCCCTACTGCAGACCGGAAGGTAGTACCCAGAGCCTCCAGAGAACTGAGGGAAATCTCTCCCTAGGCATTTTCAGTTTAGCTCTGATGCCAGAACGGGGATGCAGGATAGGCTGCCCAGGAAACTTGTTTCTCATCTGGTTCAAGAGCTCGGGGAAATGTCTTAGGAATGTCTCATTCTCCCGGCTGGACTGAGGCAGCACCTTCCACTGATGCCCAGGCAATATTCAGCTGCTGGGAAGTTGCTGAGGGAGGGAGAGACAGTAACATGACAGGCTGGGTAGCTGGCTCAGCAAGGCTGCAGGGACACTAAGACCAAGGAGTAGATTTATTGCCTGGCCAGCCCAGCTACGTCAGGAGGCCAGGAGGTTAGGCCTCTCCTCTGTAAACAGCTGGGAAGAACTAGCTGCTCTCTGGAAAGCCTTTTTTTTGAGACAGGGTTTCTCTGTGTAGCTTGACCATCCCGGAACTCACTCAGTAGACCAGGATGGCCTTGAACTCAGAGATCTGGCTGCCTCTGCCTCCCAGGTGCTGAGCAAGCCTTTTAAGTAAGTCTGCTCCACACACCCACTCAGAAAAAGGAAAACAGAGACTTGGAAGGAAAAAACGTGGTTCAGGGAAGGCTGGTGTCCAGACCTAACCCCCCTCCTTAACAAACAAACAGGGAAGCCCTGCCCATCTGCATCCCACAGGGAGAAGGCTCAGAGGGGGCTATGGATCTGGCCGCCCCTGCCACGGTCACCTTTCCAAAGTCTCTATGGTGAGGTAGCTCCAGGCTCAACCTGCATAGCCAGGAGGACAGCAAGGGCCCTGACCAGATCTTCCCCACGTGCAGCTAAGGCCTATCCTGGCGATGGTTACAGGGCCCAGCTGCACATTTTTTAATTTTTTTATCCTATTATTTTATGTGTGTAAGTGTTTGCCTGCGTGTATATCTGTGCACCAAGTGTGTGCCTGATGCCCGCAGAGGTGATGAAAGGGCACCGAGTTCCCCTGGAACTGTATTTACAGACAGCCATAAGCGGCCACGTGGGTGGCGGGGGAATCGATCCTCTGGAAGCCTGGCCCCTCTGCACGTGGTTCCCGATTCCACCCTGGGCCCTGAAGCCCGACAGCACTCACAAGTTCTGCAGGAAAGTGTGGCCACCGTCGCTGAACAGCCCACCGGCAGAGAGGACCTCCAGGGCGTAGGGGATGTTGTTCGGCAGGAAGGGGACCAGCTGCAGGGATTGAAGGGCGTAAGGCCCACAGACAGCACAACCGTTGGTGCCCCTAACTCCTACACTGCCCCGGCAGCCCCCAGGATGATCTGTGACCACCAACTACAGAGTCAGCTTTGTTGACCCCTGACCTCATGAGAAGTCGAGAGCCACACCTGAAGCTGTCTCAGAGTAACAACGGAAAGCCACTGGCCCACGTCGCAAGTGCCCGGGGAATCCTCTGAGAGCTGCGCGGCAATCACTGCTCGTGGGTGTGAGGCATGAGCTCCCACATCTCCCAGCTCAGGCTAAATCCTCCACCCGCCTTTTGCCCCAGGACTCCCCCAGCTCGGCCACCTTTGTACTGGTCTCACACGTCAAAACTTCTCATACTAAGTAACAGGGAACAAAGGGGCCATAGAAGGCTGCCCTGAAGGAGAGCTGATGCCGTACCGTGTGGCCAGCGGCCTCAAGACTCAGCTTGGTCTCCAGCACAGCCCTCCTCATGGCTGGGCTGGGCATGGTATAGTTGTCAGTTTCATAATACCCCACCCGCAGCCGTCTAGAGCTTGTATAGACCTAGAAGGAAACACCAGAAACAGGGTTGGGGGTGGGGGAGAGAATAGTCCACGCAGAACACTAAGAGACAGAGACCCACTCAGTCCACCATAGCTACAGGTTCCCAGCCGAATCCTTCTAACGCGTTTTCCCTCCTGGACTCTTAGCAGTAGATCGTCAGTACCCTTTCACAAAATGCCCTCATGGTGACTCAGAGCAGGAACGAGGGGATTCCCAGTGATCCTAAGAGGAAACTGAGGCGACCCGAAGACAGAAGCCCAGCGTGTGTCCTGTCTTCTGAGCAGAGGTTCTGTGACCTGGCCTCACTCCTGTGAGATACTAGTCCAGGCCTCCTCCCCTCTCTCCACTCTGCCCTCTCTCTCAGGAGGGGCTCAGGCTACTGTTTGAACCTGTCTGCTAAAGGGAGAAGCCTTCTCCACACAGTCCTTCCCACCCACCCGAACTCCTAAAAGCACCTATGCCACTCTGCTGCCTGGGGACCCTCAGCCCCTTTGAGGCAGCTTCACTGAGAAAGGCCAGAGGCCTGCATGGGAGAAAGACACGCTGGACTCCTGGGAAGCGGAGCTCCGTCCCTCAGTTGACATGACCTCCTGCTCTTCTGTCTGCATCCGTCCCCGGCGACTACTCCTGAATGCTTTGTACATAAACACAGATAACTGCTATGGTTCTCCTGGTTCCCCATCAGCTCTTCAGTAGGAAACATCCAAAGGTCCCCATCTCACCGAGACTCTGACCTCTCACCTGAAGCTCCTTCTCTTTCTGTAGTCCCATCCCTGACCCAATCCTAGACCAACTCCTGGTTGAAAGATCCACCTAAAACAGGCCCCACCCTGCCCTGCCTGCAAGGCTCCACAGATTCAGGGAGTAAGCTGGTCAGTTCTGTCTGATCAATGGCCTATGGTGGTCATGTTTGGGAAGCCTGCTCTCAGGTCATTCAGCCCACTTGTCAGGTAGCCTGTTTGCCGGGGAGACGGGCACGAATATTGTAAGAAATGCTGCTGCTTCCTAAGGGCAAACTCAACTAAGGTCCACAAGTTTCTTTCCCAAGGAGTTACTGAGCTGTAAGTGGTCCCCGACCGGTGGTGATCAGCAGCACAGCAGAAAAGCCTGAGAAGATGCAAAGGCAGGCACAGGCGCCACCTGGTGGGCAAGTGTGGAGCAGCAGCTACCCCAGGCCTACTCTGCCATAGAGGAGCCTCCAGCCAATCTAGCCCATGGGGTTCTAGAGTTCACCCCCTTGCCCATTCCCATCCCTACTCACATCCTCTCTGAAGGGCAAGGGGGCCACGGTGGGGTCCAGGCGGAACAGGTCCTCACACAGTAGGGCTCTCATGCATAATGCCAGGCTCTCCACATCCCGGGCCATGGGGCCAACAGAAAGCTGCACTGTAGGGAAGGGAAGGAAGAGACTTCGCTTGGCCCAAATGAGCCGTGGGTCTGAGTAAGGACTGGTCTATGGCTCTGGAGTGAGAGCAAGAAAGGGCAGTAGGAATTCAGACCTACAGTGGCCTGGCCATCAGCTATCACCCACGGGAAAAACAGGGACAGAGGCAAATGAAGATGACCCTCCACCCTCCGGGGCACCGCGAGTACTATAGACCTCACTCACCTGCCAACTGTCCATAGACACAGCCCCTCAGGCCATTCTTGCTGGTCAGAAACACAAGATGTTGGAAAGGCGTGGTAGCCACCCTAGACTCACCCCACGCCCACACCACAGCTCTCTGAAGCCCCTTCGCTGTGTGCATTCGCATGCATGACCAATAATAATTAACCCCCTCCCATGCCCTCACCAAATGCTGGTTAGTGAATCCCTCCTGCGGCCCAGTGGGCTTAAAGGCTGAGCCATAGTCAGAGTTCAAAAGCTCCCTGTACCCGCCATACCTGAGCCGGTTCCCGGTAGGCTTGAGGCCACAGATGCCACAGAAGGCAGAAGGGAAACGGATGCTGCCTCCAATATCAGTGCCCAAACCCAGGAGGGAGCCCCCGGATCCTATGAGGGCCCCCTCGCCCCCTGAGGAGCCACCTGGGCTCTTGGAGGACTTCCATGGGTTTGTGGTCTGGCCAAAGAGGGGGTTACTGCAGTCAAAGCTGGAGGAAGCAGGAAGAGGTCAGCTCGGGTCACACAGCCATGACCGTCCCCTGTCTAGGCCCACCTCACTGGTCAGGCCAGCTCCTCAGGACCAACCTTAACATGGACTGGGGGACATTGGTGTGCACAAAGGGCACGGCCCCCTGCAGCTTCAGCACTTGCACCATGACACAGTCGCACTCCGACGGCATGCTCTCATTCAGACTCAAGCCCAGCGTGGAGTCTTGGCCCTTAGGGGAAGAGATGGGTACGAAGAAGACACCAGCAGTGACGCAGGAGCCTTCAGCAGCCCAGGGACACTCCCGCCGCCATCACACTGGCAAGACCGAGCCTCCAAGGCCTCTGGACCTGAGATGTCCTTTAAGGCCCCCAGAGCTGGATGTGGGAGACAGGAGTGGTGTGGGAGGCTGGGACCAGGCAGGACGCACCTTGTAGCCGAAGCACTCCTTAAGGCTCACAGGGACGCCATAGAGTAGGCCCTGCCTTGGGGCCTGGGGCAGCTGCGTCTCACAGTCAGTCAGGTAGGAGGTCACGCAGTTGGTCCCTTTGTTCACTTCCCACGCCTAGGGAAAGGGGAATGGACACAAGGCAGCTTTTTCTCTCTCTCTTTTTAAACTGGCCCTTCCTACACTTCATGTAAGGGGAAGGGTAACCAGGATAAACATGGCTCTGAGGCAGACACAGCTTCACGCAGACTCTCTTAAAGGCTGAGACTCGGGGCTGGGCCAGGCCCGGGAACAAGATGCTGTCCTCAGGCGTGCACAGCAGAGGGTGAGCTAGGAAGACGGCCACCAGCCACTGCTCCCATACTTCCAAGCCATGTCTCTGGCCAGGAAGATAGACAGGGGCCAGACAGAAGCAGGTCTCCATGCCAGGTCACGCTGGGAGTCAGCTGCACAGTTGGGCTAGACCTGACCCAGGTACTCCCTGCTCTGCCCAGTGCCCGGCTTACCCTTGGCCAAGCTGAGCCTCCCTTTTCCCTGGGACTTTTGAGCCAAACAGATGATTGACCTCAATAAATGAACAAGGGTTAGACCTGCCACCCCCAAGAAATGATATACTGACAGCAGACATCTAGAATTTCCAGGCCCAGGCCCAGCCCCAGAGGTAAAGGAGGAGACACCTAGGTTCAGCCTCCTGACCCACCCCTGCTTCTGGGAGACAACCGAAGAAAAGGGTAGGTTCTGTGGCCACACTCAAAACTGCAGGCGTCGGTCACCAAGCTACCCCAGGCAGGAAGGGAGGAGCCCGTGTGCAACTAAAATGCTCAGTTGTGCACTGGATGTGCAGGGGCCTTTCGGGGCCTTGTTAAGGAAGAGCCAAAGCCTTAGCCACGTCCCTGTGTCTGTCAGTGACTGGCCTGCTTTCTCCCACCCCCTCAGCCGTCATCCCTTCTAACACTATCATTACACACCTCACCCTGACCCTGACACTCACTGACTCAGGGTCATGCTCGCTGTCACCATCACACTCAGAATGCACGAGCTCTCTTACTCCTTTTTCTTACATATATTCCCTGAGCTGGGGCTCACTGGAGAGATGGCTCAGTGGTTAAGTGCACAGGCTGTTCTTCCAGAGGACCCAGGTTCAATTCCCAGCACCCACACGGTACTCACAGTTGTAACTCCAGTTCCAGGGCATCCTGACACCCTTATTCAGACGTACATGCAGGCAAAACACCAATGTGCATAAAAATAAAAATAAAAAATACATATATTCCCTGAGCACTCCTTATGTAAAGGACAGTATGTTTGGCGCTAAGGCTTAAAGGGAAATAGAATAACTTCTGGCAGGGCTGGAGAGATGATGGTTTTGTGGTTAAGAGTACTTGCTGCTTTTCCAGAGGACCCTAGTTTGGTTTCCAGCACCCATGTCAGGCAGCTCACAGCCACGTGTAACTCAAGCTCCATGGGATCCCATGCCCTCTTTTGGACTCCAAGAGAACACGCACATACTCTCTCACATACACACAACACACACACATAATTTAAGATTTTAAAAGAACGTTCCCTGACCACAGGACCCGTGCAGAGCCTGAGGAAAGAGTTGAGCCTGCCTATGAGTGGACAAGGAGAGGGAGTCCTGAGCAGGGTAGGGGAGGTTTTACTGGAATCAGAGGCCTGGGAGGGGCAGAGTGAAAGAGAATCCAGGGAAAGGGTGCCAGGACAAAGCAAGGCATATCCTGAGCCCAGTGTCTCCAACTCTCCGCGGCCTCGTGCCTGGGGATGAGCCGGACCTGAAGCCCTGAGTAGCGCCTGCCAGGAGGCTGCTGCTTCTTACAGAGGGAAGAGAGGGGTGAAGATCAGGGTGGCTAAAGGTGGGTGGAGAACAGGGGAGAGAATAGAGAGCTACAGAAGGGAACAGAACAAACTGTTGACCAATGAAGTGGAGGCGGAAGAGAGAAATCTGGGCTGAAAGCCAGGTTTCTAGCTAAGACAACATGCTCAGTGTTCACACACGCACACACACACGCACACATACACTAGCTCCCATTGGCTTTTTCCCTCCCTGGTAGTCCCTGGCACTGTGGTTCTACCACGACCCAGAGAACAACTGAACAATTCCAGACCAGGTTTTCTCCTCAGCCTGTGAAGAGACTGTCTCGGGCTAGCTTAGGGCTTACCTTTCCCAGGTAGGTGAAGAGTACAGCCTCTGGGGACAGTTCTCCTCCCTGTAACTTCTGTACCAGCTGGGGCAGGGGAAGGGCCAGCAGGGCTTCCGAGTCCAGGTCAGGGTTCTGCGGGTGACACCATACTCCATCAGTTCAGTCTCGCAAGTGTGGCTTTCGCCACTCAGTCCTCAGGTAAACAAGCCGGTGCCAGCTGTCGCTTTCGTTAATAGAAGGTTCCACCTGCAGCTCTGACACTAGGAACCAGATCCAACCTAGGCAGGCACGCCAGGCCAGTGCAAGTGCAACCCCCGGGGAAGTCTGCTGGAGAAGGAAAGTGGTTAGGGCCGGGGCGCTGCCTGCACAGACTGCTACACTCTTACAACCCCTGGCTGTGCAGCACAGCCGACACACCTGGCCCCTGCCTGCCAGGCACAGCGCTGGTTGTGTTGTTTCTTTGGGTCCTCATTTTCTTTTCTTCTGTTTCTGAGTGTTTCTTACTGTTACATAATGCATTGGGATCATATCCCCAACCCCCATTACCTTCTCTTATGGCCTCCCCGCCCCCACACAGCTGTTGACCTTCTTCCCAACTATCCCTGCTCCTGCTTTCTTCACGATGTTTGTCTGGTGGTGGTGTGTGTGCACATCATGTACAGCTGCTGTGTGTTCGTGACTTTAACAGCCACGTTAAAGTACTTATCCAGAAGATGGCGTTTTACAGCGTTCCTCCCGTCCTTTGGGTTTATTCTGTTCTGTCTGAGACGGGTCCTCACTCTGTAGGCCAGGCTGGCCTCACACTCACAGGGACCTGCCTGCCTCTCCCAAGTGCTAGGAGTAAAGATGTGCAAACCAAACCCGGCTGTATTTGTTTCTTGAGAGAAGGTCTCGGTTATGACCAGGCTGGCCTTGAGCTCTCAAGATCTTCCTGACCCAGCCCCAACAGGAGGTAGGATTACATGCAGGCTTTTCAACACCAAGCCTATGACCTCCACGTCTTGATTCTCACCACTCCTGTTGCACAGATTTGGAAGAAGAAGCTAAAAGGAAAGAGGTGCTTTGTTTAGGACCAGCAAGGCAAGGAGTCGGGCTAAAAGGAGGCAAAGGGATGAAGAGCATTCGAGGTGGCAGAGCACCTGGCATTGGGTTACCGGGCGGCTCAAAACCATCTGTAGCTCCAGGTCTAGGAGATCTGATACCCTCTTTTGACCTCTGCAGGCACCAGGCATACGAGTGGTGCACATACACGCATGCAAGCAAAACACACACGGATATGAAATGCAACAAATCTTTTTTATGCTCTACCCACTCAGCACAAGCCACCCACTGCACACAGACCCTGGCAGGGAGGTGCAACCACAAAAAGGCCCCATATTAAGATGCTAAGTGTGTTGGGAGGCAGAGGCAGGCAGATCTCTGTGAGTTCGAGGCCAGCCTGGTCTACAAAGTGAATCCAGGACAGCCCAGGCTACACAGAGAAACCCTGTCTCGGAAAAAAAAAAAAAAAGATGGATGCTGAGTGTGTGGCTGAAGACCACATTCAAAGGGGGAATACTGAGGAGCCTGCTCTGCACCTGGCCCTGCAGCAGCAACAAGAAAGCGATGCCCACGCGAGCTTATGTAAGGCAAGGGTGGAGCCAGGAGCGAACAGGCAATGGTGCTGATAGTTTTTCCTCAAGTTGACACAAGCTAAAGTCATCTAAGAAGGGGGAGCCTCAGCTGAGGAATGGCCTCTGTCAGATTAGCTTGTGGGCATGTCTGTGGGGAATTGCCCAGGGGCAGTGCCAGCCCTGGACGGGTGGCCCTCGGTGCTGTGAGAAAGCCAGCTGAGCATGCCACAGGCAGCAAACTAGCAAAAGAGTGTTTCCCCGTGGTCTCGGGCTGGATCCTGCCTTCGCTTCCCTCAGTGATAGACCAGGACCGGTGAGTCGAAATAAACCCAACTTACTTTCAGCGAAGGTGTTTATCACAGCAAGAGAAAACAGACCAAGACGCGATTAGATATGAAGTTCAGATAGAGAGGGTTTGAAAAAGCAGGGTGTGGTCCCTGAGCAGGGTAGGAAAGAATCGAGGAGGGTCCTAAGCCACACCCACCTGCCAGACAACCAAGGTTATCTCTACCTGCAAACACCCTCCTGGGGCCTCCTCAAGGGTATTAGACCAATTAGTGAGTGCTCCTCAGCCCACCCTCCCTGCTCCTGCAAAGGCCACCAGATCCACCGACTACTTCACTCTGTCTTCCTCCACGCCTCACCTCACCGAGGTCTTCAGAGGCACCGGACCACACAGCACTCTCTTTGGTTTCTCCCAGAGTCCCTCTGCTCTATATTCATTTAGTCAGTCAGCAAACGTGTGCAAAGGACTGTGTGAGAGGCCATGCATTTAGAAGTAAACAAGGCGGCTGGCGAGGAGCCTGCATTCAGAAAAGATCAACATCCAAGCCAGTAAACAAGCCACTGATGGGTAGCTTGTGGTAAGGTGAGGCGGTAGATAGGTGGCCTCGGTGGGCGGGTCTACCTGATGAGGTGACATTTTAGCCATGATCTTGAAGGGTGACAAGGGGAGAGATACAGCCTCCCCCAGGTCTTTTCTCTCTGCAGCCAGAGAAGGCTTGCTCTCCTGGCTTCCACTCCTTTGCCATTTCTGACTCTGTTCAGGTGTTCCACACTTCCCATTCTTCCTGATCCTCTGCCAGGCTCCACACAAGGAGATTCACAGCTATTCATGGGGTGACTACCGCCCTTCCTTCCGCAATCACCATCTCCCGCACTTTCAATATGGCTCCACCTGGGTATACCCCAGGACCCTCAACCAGGCAAGTGCGCATCCACGCTCAGGTGACCTCATCCTGGCCTTTCTCTTCCTCTCCACTGCACCCACGCAGTCATCAAACCCTCTAGGTAGCTCTGGAAAGTGGCCATATTCCGTCTCTCTACCAAGACCCTCATCCTTTCCTCCCCATACTACTGTCCCACCCAAGCCTTTGCCCCTGTGAGCTGTCCTTCCTGCTAGGTCTAAAGTCCAACCTGGCCTTTGCCCCTTAAAATGTCCGAACGCCATACCTCTTCAGAGTCCAGAGTGTGCTTCTGAAGGTTCTTCTAGTCATGATCTTATCAGACTACCTTTGGATCATCACTCCTTCACACCCAGAACAGAGTCCCACCCCCAACCTGGGAACCTTACATGCTTAATGTCACTTCCCCAAATTTGTTAAATGATATAACACTTACTTGGAGTTTTATTCCTTTGATACAAGCTACAAAAAAAAAAAAAAAAAAAAATGGGGATCCATGATCTCTTTCCAATATACCACATAACTCTAATATATTGTTATATATGATATAAATATGTAAGTCTCTAGGGGGCTGGAGAGATGGCTCAGAGGTTAAGAGCACATTGCTCTTACAGAGGACCCAAGCTTGGCTCCTAGCACCCGTAGCCTGTCACTGCAGATCCTCCGGCCTCTGTGGGCACTGCGCTCATGCACATATACCCCATACAGACTCACGCTCAAACGTAATTTAAAATAATAAAAAAATAATAAAAGGGAGGTGGAGTAGGGGAGATTCCTGGACCTCCCTGGGCAGACAGTCTTGCTGAATTGGTGATTTCCAGGTACAAGGAGGGACTCTGTCTCAAAAAAAATAAGGTAGACAGTGTAGAGAAAAAAAACCATCTGACGTCTGGCCCCCACACACGGGAACTCACATGCATATAAATACACAGTAAGGTCTGCATACCACAAAGACACACCAGGGGGTGTGAAAAGTGAGCCTTTGTTCCCTCCGTGCAGGAGGGTTGCCATGAATCTGAGGACAGCCTAAGCTACATAGTGAGCTACCAAAACGAACAAACAAACAAAGTAAAATAAGGGCTTAAGAATACAGCTGTGTGAGTAAGATGCTTTCCTAATGTTCACAATGTACTTGGTTTGATACCCAGCATTGATAACCCCAGGCATGGTAGCCCGGCATGATGGCACACGCCTTGAATCCCAGAACTCGGAAGGCAGAGGCATAGAGATCTCCGAGTTTAAGGCCAGCCTGGTCTACAAAGTGAGTGTAAGGACCGCAAGGGCTACACAGAGAAACCCTGTACCAAAAAGACAAAACAAAAAAAGAAAACAAAACAACAACAACAACAACAAGAAAAACAGACATGGTAAAGGCCAGAGGATCGGAAGTTTAAGGTCATCTTTAATATCTATAGTAAGTTCAAAAGTCAGCCTGGAATACGTTATATGTTCATTGTTTAATTTTCAAGGTGCCTGAAGTAAAGAAAGCCCAAATCAGCACAGTACCCACTATCCTGGGGTAGTTACTGTATAGTACCCAGTACTTGCCTGCCACCTCCCTCCTTGCTGAAGATGCCTGCAGAGTCCCTCCCTGCACATGACACCTGGAAGTTATCAGCGGCCCTTCTGGTGGTCTGAATAGGAATGGTACCCCCTCCACAGTGCTTGGTCACCGGGTGTAGCAAGTTAGATGCTGTGGCCTTGTTAGGGTAGGAAGTGTGTCACTGGAGGTGGCCTCTGAGGTGTCAGGTGCTCAAGCCCATCGTCTCTCTCATCCTGCTGCCTGTTGACCCAGATGTGGAACTCTCAGCCCCTTCTCCATCACCATGTCTGCCTGTCCATGACGATAATGGTCTAAACTTCTGAACCTGGAAGCCAGCCCCAGTTAAATTCTTTCCTTTGTCAGAGTTGCTGGGCCTTTAACTCAAGCACTATGGAGGCAGAGGCAGGCAGATCTCTGAGTTTGAAGCCATCCTGATCTACAGAGTAAGTTCCAGGCTACACAGAGAAAACCTGTCTCAAAAAAAAAACAAAAAAAACCAGTAACAACAACAACAACGAAAAAGAGTTGCCATGGTCATGGTGTCTCCTCACAGCAATAGAAAGCCTGACTAAGACAACCCCCATTCTCATGTATATTTCAATCCTTTCCTGTGTCTTCCCTGTTAACAGTTGATGACACAGTTGTTAACAGCTATTTTTAAATCTTCACAGCATCAGGCAATTGAGACATTGTCTCTCTCCCAAATCACCAAAGTAAGTCTATACCCAAAGAGGCCAGTCTGTGAATATTAGGGAGGTTGGTTTTGCATGGGAAAACAGAGGGTCAGTTACTGATAACCTCCAGCTAACTGTCTGGCCACTCAGTGTGGAGACATTTTTCAAGAGGGCGCTACTGTACCTATCAACTATTTCTGTCTCTCCAGATGCAAATATTGTTCTAACTTCAGACTCCTGGGTTGTCTCCCTTTTTGTTTTTGCTCTTCTTTGTGTTGTTCTATGTCAAGCTGTCTCCTCCATTTTCCTACGGTGATGGTGATGTTCTCAACGGTGTAACCATGCTTTCAATTCATCAATGAATCATTTTAAAGGAGAGTGAAAGGGAGGCTTGGAAAAGGCCAGGAGACAAGGCCATGGTGGATCTGGTGAAGGAAGAGTCATTTGTAGGTGCATGAGACAGTACAAGACCGCGCATGCAAAGCCTTGAGGCAGGGATCACATCTTATGACAGCCCTTCCAGCCTCAGTAGTCTGCTTCCGGTGGTTCCTGTCTGCAGTGCAATAGCAACAACAGGGGAGAGGGGGGTGGAGAGATGGCTCAGCGGTTCAGAGTACTGTTTGCTCTTCCAGAGCACCTGGATGCAACTCCCAGCATCCCACACGGCTGGCGTCTCACAACCACGTGTAACTGCATTCTCAGGGGGATCTGATGCCCTTTGTGGTTTCTGTGGGCACCATGCATGCACACGGTACACGAAGATACCCGTAGGCAAAGCATTCATACACATAATAAAATAAAGTAGTATTTAAAAAAAAAAAAAAAAAAAACCTCACTCAGGTGCCAGCTGAGGGAAATGGAGGAAAGGTGGTCGCTGGTAAGCTTCCCCTGGTGGACGGTAACAAGAACTACACTTCTCCCCTAGGGTTGCTACAGAGCCCGGGACCGTGAACCACTGTGCCAACCACTGTGACTCGGAGGCTCACGTCCTCCGTGGTCTACCTTGTGTCTTACCTTGGCAGGAAGTTAACTTTGTATAGACTCTATCACAGGGATTAAACGGCTCTGTCCTCCCAGCACACTGGGTCCTACCTCCCCAGGTGCCCCTTGCTATTCAGGGATGGGCTGAGAAAGCATTCGAGGAGAGATTTCGGAGGCTTCCAGCACCACCTCTCTCTTCCCCAAGGAAGCCTGAGCCCAGCAGGAGGGCTCTAAAGGGGTGAAGAAGGGAAGGGGCTGAACCTGAGGCTGGGCTGATTTTACCCCAAACTCCTACCTCCTAACCATCCCCCTTAGGTCTACAGAGCTACTGCCATCAAGAATCCTTAGTCAGTTAGACGGGCCACACCTAAGTCTGAAATGGGAGGGTCTCTTGAGCCGGGCTCTGACTCCACCTGGACAGCAGGCAGGAGAGGTAGTGGGGGAATAATAATGTACAAATGTCTTTCCTGTTTGCTAAAAAACACAGAGAAAGACGAATGCAGGAGCACACCCTGTCAGCACCTGGAAGGCTGAGGCAGGACAGCCAGGAGTTCAAATGCATCCTGGACTATTTTGAGTTCAAAGCCAGACTGGGAAGCATGAGAGCTTGTCTAAAACACAAAGAAAAAAAAAAAAAAGCAAGCAAAACAACCACAGAGGCTCCTTTGGCTTCAGCCCCTGAAACTGGAAAGTTAGTTTCCCTTTCTGAAAAAGCCGTTTGGTGTTTGGTGTCTGAGGCTCGTCTTGGCTCCCAGAAGATATGCAAACAGCATTTTGTATTTTAGAGCCAAAACTTCTGCCCTTAAACATTCTTTGAAAAAAGATTCTTGCCGGGTGGTGGTGGCACACACCTTTAATCCCAGTACTCAGAAGGCAGGTGGATCTCTGTGGGTTCGAGGCCAGCCTGGTCTACAGAAGGGGAGATGAAATGTAGGAAGATCCAGCCTTCTCCCAGCCCCCCCCCCCCCAGCCCTCCCAGCCAAATGGATTCCTTATGGCTAGGAGTATTCCTTCCAGTAAGCAGGAACTGTGGGCAGATTTCTGCGCCTGCTCCCCAAGCTGTGCTGAAAGCTGGCTGCACAGAAGAACATGGAGGAGCAGCCAAGGCTTGCCAGACCTAGCCCAGGATCTTAATGAGGCTCCTGAGAGGGAACCACCAGAATAACCAAAGAGCCTGTGCTTGGGTAGCAGAGGTGGCCAGTGTGGGATTGGAACCTCCCAACCTAGGAGGAGTCAGCTTTAAATATCTTTTAAACAGCTTTTCAGACATCTTGAGGAGCGGAAGCTTGAACTAAATACACCTTTATTTTAATAAAGACATAAAATATACCCTGGACTTGGTAATGGCCTGGAGTAAATTCAAACTATTACAGCCTGCCACAGTTTTGCCTGCATTCAGAGCCACAGCTGGATATCCAAAGACCAGCCCTCCTAACTTCTCGCCACTGCTGTGAACCAGAGTTTCACAAAGCACTTCATGCAGTTCCTGCTCAAAAATCACTCGTTGCAACTGAATACCTGCAAAATGCAATTTTCACCGAGCCTCTCCCTGAGACTGACCCAGAAACACCTTCCTGACTCCTGCCATCCTCGTTTCATGGGATCTCTCCTAGCTTCCAGATCCCCAAAATACCCACAGCAACTCTTCCATTCTTCAGCGCACAGACACACTAGACTTCACCGTGTGGGCTTCTGACGGGGGCCAGTGTTTCATACAACCAGAGGGAAAAGGCCCTCTTTTGCAGCCACCTTTTCTCCTTCCCACAAACTCTCTCACACTCCCAGGCGCACCCACCGAAATGTCCCAGGCGGCATGGGGAGAAGGGAAGCCTGCCGCTAAAAGGTTGAGAGGGGTTTGTGAGGTGCTGAGCATGACAGACCCGGCAGAAACCTTGGACGACTTTAGAGACTCTAGAGGGACTGCGGCCACTAATTCCCCTGTGCACGTCTATTTTCACCGCTCCCTTAAGATCCCTGTGCACAAATGAACAAACATGAACTTTAAGCTCTCTGGGTGCCCTAGATTAGCAACGTCCTGAGTCATCACCCCATATCAAAGTCCTAAACCCTAGTTTATTCTACTGATTTTCACGTTAACGGGTTTTTTGGTTTGGTTTGGGGTTTGTTTCTGTTTTGTTTTGGAGTTTTTGTCTTTGTTTTTCTATCGTTTTGATAGTCGGTAATGGAGATTCTCTGGCGCGGTGGGGGGGGGGGGGGGGGAGTTCCTCTTTGACCCAGCACAGAGCCCAGTCTCCACCACCTGCCGTCTTTTTCTTTTCCGTTTCTCCTTGCGCTGCACCTGGCGCGGGCAGAGAACGGAATGCATTAGCTCGGGGAGAGGCGGGGTGTTCCGTTCTTGTGCTCACATCTGCGCTGCCTGCCAGTCGCCCCTCTGGCGTCCAGGCGGCTCAAAGTGCTGCCTTGCCCACCCCAGCCCCGGCGCCGGCCTTCACCTGCAATCGGAAACGCTGCACCGCCTTGTCCATGGTCTCCAGGCCCGCTCGCTGCCTCCGCCGCGCCCTGGCCGCCGCGTTCCGGGCCGTCCGGCGCCCGGTCCATCGCAGGACCACCGCCGCCGACACCAAGCAGCAGGCTAGGGCGACTCCGGAGACCCCAGACAGCGCGGTCCACACTTGGCTAGGCACCATGATCTCCCGCACCGACTGCTTTCGCCGAGAGGAATCAGCACGCGCAACCCAACAGCTCCGCTGCAAAACCCGGCCTGGATCGCGGGCGAGTCCTCCAGAGGGAGGGGCAGGCGGCGCCGCGGGTCCGCGGGGAGCGCGCGGTTGCCGGGCAGCGAGGAAAGCTGGCAGCTCCAACGGTCAAGGTCAAGCCTGGCCGCCTGCTGGCCTCGTTCCTGGCATCCCGGCGTTTTGAGGCGGGCAGAGCATCTGAGCTCCGCGTGGGCGCCCTCGGAAGCACCAGGGCGGATCAGACCCTTGGGTGTGTCTCCGCCCCGCGCACCCCACAGCTCCAACTCCCTTCCAGAAAACCAAGCCAGGGCCCCAAGAACAGGCCCACCTGGGCAGACGCGGTGTGGCAGAACTTATTAACCTCTCCAACATTTCAGCAGCATCTTTCCCGGGAAGCCTAGCGTCGTCGGTGCTATGCAGAGCTAGATGTCCATTTCACCTGGGCTCAGGGCTGTCTGTCTGGGTGCAACCTTGAATCTTTACGCTGGGGTCCCTATATATGTCTTGTCTTTTTCCTCATCCACTTTACACAGATGGTCCCCACTAGGTCATGCTCTCCCAGGCCAAGACCCCCTGGGATTTCACACCCAGGAAACAACAGCAACTTCATCTGAACTAGAGTCCTCTCCAGGGACCTCGTGCCCATCAGTGGAGGGGAGGGCATACATTTGGGCCACGCACACCCTGATTCTGGCTAGATTTGCTCTCACAGAATTTTATGTGATTCAGCTCATTTATCCCCCTAAAAGTCCTATGAGAAAGGCATTCCTGTTTTCACTTTATTAGTGAGAGATGACTTGAAAACAAGAGTTGTTCAACGACCTTTTTGAGTCACACTCTTGGCTGAGTGAAGATCAGACTCTAGTCTTATTAACCATTAGGCCGTACTGCCACTGCTGCCTCTGAAAGCGAGACACTGTGAGGTAGAAGAGTATCCCAGAACTCTGAATGGAAACTCTGAGTCCTGGGTGTCTTTACCTCTGAATCTGAGAGGGGTGGTAATTATGGGTTCCACAGGGGACTGTTAGGAGCCTGTGAGGTTTCCTCATTAAAGTCCTATCCTCTGTCACAAGCTAAGCCTCAATCTTTTCCTTGTTTGTTTGTTTAAACGGGGCTAGATACACCTGTCTCTTCCTCTCCCCTGACTGCTGGGATTAAAGTTGTGAGCAACCAGACTGGCCTTTGTTTCTTTTCATTACACAGGGAAACTCAATTACTACATTTTGTGTCTTGTCTGCAGAGTAATTTAGCTGGGTATGCTGCTGCATGTCTGCAATCCTCCCCAGCAATACAGACTGAGAGGCTGGTCATTTCTGAGGCCTAGGGTCCAAGTCTGTTGGCCAAGTTTGTTGCCTTAGGGACTCCATTTACAAAGCATTCCTTTGTCTTTGCTGTAATGATGGCTTCTCTAAGCAGTAAATTCCCTGGGGACTTATTAAATTGGATTTACTTTACAAAAGTGGGGGGGGGGTTGCTATGTAAGAATGGATTTGGAGGCCTAAACAGCAAGCTCTGGGCTGATTAAGTCTCTTGTAAAAGGATCTGGTGGGTGGCCTGTGAGAGATGATCCCCTCCTGATACACTTCGCTTTCTCAGATTCTGTGATTCATTTAGTCTTCCACTGACCCCTGCTACTAAATGACAGTCCACTGCTGTGAGTCAGGAAACTGAAATAAATACCAGACCTGTTAGCGGCCTTGGAAAGCAGGACGCGGCAGCACAGCCTTGTAACCTCAGCACTTAGAAGGCTAAAGGGCTTCAAACTCAAGTTCAGCCTGAGCCTAAATATAGCACAGCGCTGTCTCCAAAAACCCAAAACAAAACAAAACAAAAACCACCCCATTAAAAGAGTCCTGGATTCTGGGGTTTTGGATTGGAAAGCTAAAAATTTGGCATACAGAACTCTAGGGTTAGACTGCCTCGTTATCCTTCCTTGTATGATTTTCTGAGCCTCAAGTTTCTTAATTGTAAAAATGAAGATAGTGCCTCTCAACACTCTAGAACTTATGTAAGAAATTAGGGGGTGTAACAGAGCCAGTATATTCTAGCATGTTAGCCACCATTGACATTGTTGCTATTACTAGAAAAATAGAGTCCAGGGCTACAAAGATGGCTCAATAGTTAAGAGCACTTGGCTGCTCCAGAGGTCCTGAGTTCAATTCCCAGCAACCACACTGTGGTTCACAACCATCTGTAATGGGATCTGATGCCCTCTTCTGGTGTGCATGAAGACACTCATATATATAAAATAACGTGAACAAATCTTTAAAAAAGAAAAACAGAATCCTACAGAGGGATTGTCTGGCTCAAACTTAAAAGCCAGACTGCCAGGACCCAGTTCTACAGCTTTCCATGACTAAACCACAGTAACCTCTTCTGCTTCACTGTGAAGAGATGATAATCACAGAGTTTTACGAACACTGAACAAGTTAGTTCCAGGAAGGAGATTGCAAGAGTATTTTGCTAGTAATAAGGGTCTGATAAATGCTATCTCTTTCTTTTACACTTGACTGTGACGCAATGGAGTGTTTGGGAGAAGGCAATGTGGAGGTTTGCCCCATGCAAGCTGGAACACGAAGCCCGAAACGGAAGAGCAGGTTCATGTGAGGCTTGCTGGGGAGGGGGTTCCAAGGCTCTCTGCCTTGGAAGGGAGCTGCGAGGACAGGCAATAGCACACCATCGTGGGAGCCAGAACAGCATGTCCCTGGGGTCCCTCCATTTCTTCGAGGGACAGGTGACCTTCATAGCACACAGTGGATCCTGGCGGCTTCTCTAAAGACAGGATCAGAGTCCTTCCGTAGTTTGCTAGTGAGCCAAGTCATTGTGTGTCTTAGACCTCAGCTGAGGACACAGGTAACAATACCTTCCTAAACACCCCTGGAGGTGGGGAGAGGCAAGTCTGTCCAGGAATTGAGAGTCCCAGAGAGATGACAAGTGTGCATATTCTGCATGGCTTTGAAATCTCTGTGTTCTGGGAGTTGGGAAGCTTTTTTTTTTCTTTTGTCTTTGTTTTGTTTTCTGGGTTTTTGTTGTTGTTGTTTTTGATAGGGCTTATCTATGTAGCCCTGGCTGTCCTGGAACTCACTCTGTAGACCAGGCTGTCCTGGAACTCAGAGATCCACCTGCCTCTGCCTCCCAAGCTGCCGGGATTAAAGGCGTGTGCCACCGCTGATTGGCACAGTTGTAGAAGCTCTTAATTTCTCTTTTCCCTTTCATTTCCGTGAGCCTTTTCAGGGGCTACAGAGGGAAAACACATACACACATACATACACATACAGAGAGAGAGAGAGAGAGAGAGAGAGAGATGACACAGTAGGTCTTGCTGCAAGGAATAGCTGTGGGTTTGTGTGTGTATATAATTTTTTAACGTATTATATAGAGAAATAAATCATTTCCCTTTTCCCTTTTTTCCCTTCTAACCCTTCCATGTATCCTTTTCTCTTTCAAATTCATGACCTTTTTAATATTTCTAAATACGTAACCTTCTTAGTCTATATAAGGTTACTAACCTGTATGTTTCCAGGGCTAACCATTTGGTATTGGATAACCAATTGGTGTGCTGTTCACTGGGAAAGACTGTTTCTCCTACTGTGCACCATTTTAATTGCCTATAGTTCCTTCTCTAGAATTGAGGCACTCTCCTTAGCATATGTATTGATGTCTTCCTTGTGGCTTAAATGTGTACAACTCCAAAATTGGTATATTAAAAGCCTAATTAACAAGATATTAGATGGTGGAGCTTTTCAGGAAAGTGCTAAAGTCATGAAGACTTTGTCCTCATGAATATTTATTTACACACACACACACACACACACACACACACACACATATATATATATATATATATTTTTTTTTTTTTTTTTTGAGACAGGGTTTCTCTGTGTAGCCTTGGCTGTCCTGGACTTGCTTTGTAGGTCAGGCTGGCCTCGAACTCGAAGCAATCGCCCACCTCTGCCTCCCTGAATGCTGGGACTAAAAGTGTGCGCCACCACGCCCAGCTGAATATATTTTAATTTATTTTAATATATTTTAAAGACTTGTTTTTCTTTATGTGTTTCTGTGTGGGTAAAATGCCCTGTGTGTGTGGAGGGGTGGATGCCGGTAGAGGCCAGCAGAGACTGAAAGATCCCTTGGAGCTGGAGGTCCAGGAGGCTGTGAACCACCCTCTGTGGGTACTGAGAATCAAAGTCAGGTTCCTGTAAGGGCAGTATGCTCTCTTAACTTCTGAGCCATCTTTCCAGCCCCAAATATACTAATAACCTTATCAAAAGAAATGCTAGGCTAAAAAGAACGAGATAATAAAGAGGTGCTAGGGTTAGGATATAACTCTAATAGAGTGCCCACCTCGCACACATAAAGAAAGGAAGCTGCTGTCTTCACTCTTGCACTCTTCAGTTGCTGCTCCTGCCATTCGAGGAGGCAGCAACAAAACGCTGCCTACAGAACAGAACCATTCCCTACTGAGTGCTAAATCTAATGCCATCTTGATCTAGCTTCCCACGTTCTAAGAACTGTAAGACTAAGTTTTTCCTTCTTTGTAAACTGCTCAGCTTTAGGCATTTTGTCAGAGTAGCCCTGGAACTTCTGGCCCCACACGCAGAAGCACTGTCATCATGGGTTGCTCCCAATTCCAACCTTTACACTGTCCGACCTTTACACTCAGTTGTCTGGGGCCTCTTACTACTCTTCTTAGTTTGGAGTTTGATTTTTGTGCTGTAGTGATTGTGAAAATGACCCCAATAAAGCTGGGAGTGGTGGCTGTAATCCCAGCACTTGGGAGGGGAAGGCAGGAGGCTCGGAAGTGCAAAATCATCCTAGCCCAGGCTGGTCTTGAACTAGTGATCCCCTGTCCATGCCTCCTAAGTGGTAAGAGTACACTGGCACTGCCATAGAACAAGCCCAATCTAGTCTCGAACCAGAGAGTGCGAGAGTTCAGCAGAGTCTACAAAGAGCCCAGGTGTACCTGCTCAGGTCCTTACCTGGACAAACCAGCCGATCGGAATGACAGACACATGGGTGAATCTCACCAGGCCTGAATGAGCTAGCAGAACCACCAGCTAACCCACAGACACTGACAATAAGCCAACAATTTTGTCTGCTACAAAAACAC